GTGTGTGTGTGTGTTTGTGTGTGTTTGTGTGTGTGTGCATATATAATTATGTGTGTGTATGTGTGTGTATGTGTGTGTGTGTGTGTGTGTGTGTGTGTATCCCCGCCCATCTCCTTGTGTATGTTACTCTCTAGTATCATCTCTAATTTTCACTTGTACGACCTATTAGTGCTGCAAACGCCACATCCCTTTTTACCTTGAGCCAAAAAAATGGTAAAGATTGGGTTTTCTGTTGCTATTTTTAGACAACATGGCGTCCCGTGTCCAGCTCGGTCGGTGCTGTGTGTGATGATCGAAGAGGCTACTAGCCTAGCCTAGGCCTACTACTTTCTTGCATTATCTTTTTCTCTCTCTCTCTCTTTTGTCTTCAGGAAGGGCGGCTGTATGAGAGTCATCTCGTTCATCAGATGGCAGAGGTGCTTAAGGTAAATCCTTTTTGTAATTTCTTGTAAATATTTGAGACGCCATTGTTACAGTTTTGATCCTACTTCTAAAGACAGCTCGAGTTAAATCGTTGACGAACTGTAAAATGTCAAAAGCCAACAATATTGATTTGTTTTATAAAATTGCAATTTCCTGTTCTTGATGACGATCCCAGACTACAGACTATCCCTTGTCAAGACGTATGACAGAATAATATTATACAGTGATGGGTGCCTTTACCAAATCAAACCTATCCGTACATCGTGTTTTACTATTGTATCCATACGAGGTAGGGAACTCTGTGCCACCACTTTCCAAAGAGGAAGTTTTCTCAGTAATCCGATCATTACGCTTTGCATTGCAGTTTGTCAAAATGATATTTTGAGAAATACTGAACGTTTCAAAGAGATCATCGTACTAGAAGTATTCTAAAATGTGAAGAATACAACCACTGGGCTACAAAGTGTCCCCAGGACGTACGGATAGGGTTAAAAACGCTACAGGGCTCTCGCTAGTGAACTCATCATCACGATCGATAACAAGTAGGCCTATCTTAAAACGGGACACACCCAAATGGAGGTCTATAGCGTTCATTGCGTCATTGAGCAATCCCTTAGAAACACTCCTATACACGTAAAACGTGACTATGATAATGTAGTCAGATTGGCAAGTCAAAGTCCTTGACCGTATGAAGTAAAAAAACCTAAAATAAACTTTCTTCAGCAAATATTCATCAATACAATACTCGGCCATTCAATCATGAAGAAAATCCGAGGACGTAAAATTAGTTGACATACGAGCGCTCCGCTATTCCTTAGGCTCTGTCCACACTGCACGCAGAGCAGGGAAAATTAATACAAAGACAAAGAGGTGACTGCTGCCCGCTCTGCTTGCAGTGTAGCCAGAGCCTTCTAGGGGATATTCAGCTCAAGCTCGCTGTATGTGACGACAGGCAAAACAATATTATGTCCAAGCCACACTACCATATGCACGACTGCCCCTGCACTACAATAGCAAAGATAACTTATCACAAGTACAAAATACCAACACTTACAAGAGTTGAACTCAGTTAATTCCAGCTGAGGCTAATGCACTTTAGAGCATTGATTTGTAAACGTATTTCGAAATAGGAAGGAATAATGGCTTATTGCCATTCCAATATTATTTTAACACTCATAACTTATACAGCTATTTCACTGTGATACATTACTTCTAAGCAATTACAAGAAAATATAGTCATTTGGATACTTTAAATGTGTAGGAAGGTACTAAAAGTTGGCAAGAATGCAATTTGACGATGTCTGTGATAAACTGGTAAAATAGTATTTACTAGAGTCTTTTTTTTGTCTGACAAAACTATATTATTATCTGTCTTGTTCTAGCCTTTAAATGTCTACAAACTATCAATGATATCAGGGAAAGTTGGGATAAGCTGTATACTAATTTGGCCTCCAGCAAACCACGCCCTTCTCTTTGTAAACCACAATATGTGGTGGGTTAATACATTATTTTATCGGCATGAACTGTATGTAAACAGTGCGCCAGTTCAACCAGCGCTGTGTTGCTTTGTTGTTCACAAACATAAGATAAAATATCTACGAAACCACAGCCAATCCATCTTATCTATGATAAAACTGTATATTTAATGGATGAAGTTTTCATTTCTACTCAGTTTGTGTTTATTTTATTCTGATAGGTAAGATAGGATACGTTGGCAGTTACACGGTATTTCTTGATGTCGAAAAACTGGAGTACAAAATTGTTCCAACTAGAGGATTGACCTTAGAGTTAAAATGAGAAGGAACAATGTACCTAGCTGATCAAACGCATCTCGTTACAAAAGACCCCATCTCTTTACGAGATTATAATTTATGTCAACCTCTAAATATCGCATAATTTGGTTTCTGACCGCATGGTCTTAGTAACTCCAAACAGCCGAAAATTTTCAGAATTTTGTCATTCTAAGATAGTAAACTGTTACCCAAAAAAAAAAAAAAAAAAAAAAAAAAGACAATAGTAGGCATTCTCCTGCATAGAGTTTGTTTTGTTTCCACTCCGGAATGATGGACGAAGAAAGAATAATGACCTTAATTCAACCAGCAGCTTGAGCTAATTGACCCCTTATCATCATCATCATCATCATCATCATCATCATCATCATCATCATCATCATCATCACCATCATCATCATCATCATCATCATCATCATCATCATCATCATTGCCTTCCACCCCTGGCAGGGTATAGGCCATATACAAGCTTCTTCCATTTATCTCTGTTCTGGGCCATCCTTCCAAGCTCGTTCCAAGTGAGCTTAATCTTCATCTCTTTCATGTCCCTTTCCACACATCTCTTCCATGTTTCCTGTGACCTACGCCTGCCTCGTTTCTGTCCAGACTGGTTCAAGTGGGTTTCGCTGATTCCCAGTATGTGTAGGTGGTATCGATGTATCTCTTGAAGGACCTGTGCAGTATTTCCATCCTCATAGAGGGTCCAGCCATTCCATGATCCAATCCGAAGAGACTTGGACTTGGATGATGGTGGAGTCTTCTGCCCAGCAGCTTCCTTTCGACTTTCACAGCCTTGAGTCATAAACTCTCCATTCGGAGAAGCCCTTATAATGGGTGTTGCAAAGGAGTTCTGTAACCGTAATTTTCAGCTGGCTTTGCCAGGGTCGCCGAAGGAAGAAATTACTGAAAATACAAATGAGGAAGTCAACTTAAAAACAAGATAAGTCCATTTATACAGACAAAATAACATAGGTACTAGTCTTTAACTTAGAGTAATAACAGTTAAATATCTCTATAGTGCGATCAAAAATTCGTGGCTCAAGTTATCCCCAAATATTTTTATAACGGGTGAATCAATGCCACCCGTACTTTGCACAGCAGTTTGCCTCGGTCTGTTTTAGCTTAATCATATTTTTCCACATTTGAGGCTAGATTAAAAAACCTTTCATCATAAATTTATTTAAAATAGGCCTACTACAAATCTCCTTCGCGAGGAATATGGAATTGTTCACAGCACTTCTCGCTTCTCACACACATTTTGTATACACGTAATAATATGGTCTACGTCACAGCTCACCAATGACACTTTTTAGTGGCAAAACTAGTAACAAGAAATTAATTTTATAGTGAACACTGTTTTGACTTAAAAGTTCTCAAAACATGCGTTCAATAAAGATAATCTTGCTATTGGGAAAAATGACGGACTTGCTTTTAAAAGCGATATCGTCCCTGCTGTAAACCTTTTAAAATGAGTAGTAACCACGCACTAGAATTTTTTATTACTATTTATCAAGGAATTTTCTAGAATAGAGCTAACAGGCGCGTACAAAAACATTGATCTGTTAAGAAAAATTGATACCCGTCACTGTGCAAAGGCTGGAGAGTTTATGTTTGATAGTTAAGGAATTATTTGATGATAAGTTGCGCTATGAATTTTTGACTGCACTACATGAGGAAATCATTCAAGAGAGAAACTGAATACAACTTTCAATCCTTTCGGAGGCCAGAATCATCATCAAAATGTGTGTCTGTGTATATTTGTGTGTGTGTGTGTGTGTGTGTGTGTGTG